CCTTTACATGAATCTACTTTTCTCCCTGGTTCCGCAGCCGCGGATCTTTTCGGGCATGGTATTCCCTCGTGTAGGGTATTTGCTTTGAGAATTGTGTTTCCTTAGTTTTGCTGTAGAACGTTTTTCGGGTATTAGATGAGTACCTTGAACGAGTTGTTCATCCTAATTATTTGTTTTTGTTCTGTCTGAGCCTTTTTGGCCTAGGTGTGGGCCTTTGCTCTTTGCAAGTCAGTGGACTTGGAACTGTACTAGTACGCACGAGTTGTGCAGCTGAAGCAAGCCGAGAGGGCACTGCCGACACAGTAGTGTGTTCGTTTTTAGAGTCAAGTGGACTCCTCTATCCTTTGTGTGGATTTGCTTACCAGTTGACGCCGAGTGGGCCAAGCCTCCTTGTGCTGGAGTGTGTACTGGTGCTGTGTTAACTTGCCATGTGGGCAGTTCTCGTTGCAGACGATGTGTGTCTTGCGCGTTTAGTGTTCTGTAGCAATTGGATGTTGTTCCTGTCTTTAAAGTGCCATGTTTTGGACATTGTTGATTTTCATTTTAGGCTTGTCGCCTTACCAACGGAGCAACGCGGAGATTCAGAGGCTTGTAGAACTGTTAAAGACTGTCATACTTAATGACTGTGCCGCTTCAACCGTGTCTTCGTATGCAGGGGCAGCCAATCGATGGATTGACTGGTGCAAGTGCTACTCGTTTCCTCCTTTACAGTCTAACCCAACCGCAGTTGCTCTCTACTTAACAAGTCTTTCAGACCGAGGCTTATCTCGCTCGTCAATCCTTGGAGCAGCTTATGGCATTGCATGGCTACATAAGAAACTTGGATGTCCTAATCCTGTCGACGATCCGCTCGTTTCTCAGACCTTGGCTGGCTTTAAACGCCTCCTGGCTGGTCCATCTAAGAAAAAGCAGCCTATTGAATCTCATCACGTCAGGGCGCTGATTTGTTCCTATGGTCACCCTCGTGCTTCTCTACCGAACCTACAAATGGTGTCGCTGGTTGCGCTTGGTTTTTGTGCTTTCCTACGTTGGTCAGAGCTGCGTGACTTGCGTGCCTGTGACTTAAGGTTTTGCGCCACCCACATGTCTATTTTCCTAGACAGGCGTAAGAACGATCAATTCCGTCAGGGATCTGTGGTTAAAGTTGCTCGTTTACCTTCCAGCTCTTGTCCAGTGAAACTGTTAGGGTTATTCCTTGAGCGCGGAGAGCATCAACCATCTCAGTCTTTATTTTGTCTCTGCCAGAAATTGGGTGCCGGGTACAAGCTGCGACAAGCTGCTCTGTCATATTCTCGGGCACGGGAACAGTTTCGTCAAATGATTTCCGAACTTGGTTTAGACTCGAACGAATTTGGTTTACATAGCCTTCGTTCAGGTGGTGCTTCCCAAGCAGCACGCAGCGGAGTTTCTGGGAGAGTATGGCGTAGACATGGTGGTTGGCGCAGTATCCAAGCCGCAGATGGTTATGTCGATGAATCTTTGGAAAATACCCTTGTGGTATCTAGAAATCTCTTTAATTTTCAGTATGTGTTTTGCTTGATAAACATTGCGCGAGTTGTGTTGTTTGTTGCAGTATGGAGAGATTTACATTTGCCCAATTAATTCTGATGGCTTAACGTTGCTTGATGACACAGAATCCTTGCCGCAGGTGGATATGCTTAACAATTTTTGGACAGTACCCTTATGGTATCCAAGCGATTAGCTATCTATTATACTGTAAATATGTTTGCTTAATGAACATTGCCTTATATTGTATCCTTATATGCTTTTGCCACTGATTGTGAATTGTCTGCTTATCCCGCACCGCATTTCTGGTTGTCAGTTTTTTGGGTGCGGGGAATTCAAGAATTGTTCATTTATCTTTGCCTGAATGCAGCGAAGCGTAATGAAACAAAAGATAAATGGTTTCTTGAATTCCCAAGCACAGGTGCATTCGTCGGCAGTGTGTTTTAAGTGCCGGCATGAGATTATGAGAAGAAAGTGTGATATGTAAAGTAGCAAGTATATATTCGCTGAACAGTAAACAAGTTTCATTGTGGATTTTTACAAGTGGACAGTTAAATTTTGTTCTTTTGTATATTTCGATTGAAATCCTGTAATCCATTTCCTCGTAACGATTTTAGTTGTGTTTTCCTGATGATTGACAGTTATTATAAGTGGTTTTGTTTTTTCATTTACTTTGGCCGGATCAAACGTATACAGTTTGTTTGATTTTTTGGTGTCTGAACAGTGGAAACAGTTATTTTTGTTTTGTGATTAGTTGGTTAGTTCAATAAATGGGCTAAGAATTGTCTGCTTATCCCGCACCGCATTTCTGGTTGTCAGTTTTTTGGGTGCGGGGAATTCAAGAAACGAAATGTTGTATGCCAGCCACTTGAAAATGGTGGCCTTAATTTTATAAATTTTGAAATTATGGTAAAATCTTTGCGACTAGCCTGGATAGCTAGACTGATTAGCAACTCTGACGATAATTGGAAGGCAATACCGAATTTCTATTTCCACAAATATGGCGGCCTGCCCGTCCTCCTCAAGTGCAACTACAATACTGCAATTCTTGACAACAATCTACCTTTATTCTACCCTGAGTTATTAGATTATTTCCAAGAACTAACGAAATTCTCAGAATACGATAACAACAATGACCTCATTCTTTGGAATAATATGAGAATTACGATAGAAAGGAATAGTGTCTTCTGGAAACAATGGTTTGATCAGGGTGTTACTTTCATTAGTGATTTAATGAACTCAAATGGTAAATTTCTAACCTTCGAAGAATTTCAAAATAAATTTGAAATTAAAGCTAACTATTTGCACTATTTTCAATTAATTGCTGCCATTCCTCCGGATCTAAAACGAAAGGCATTTGGTACCACGTTTCCTGATCTGCTCGGAGCAACTTCAGAGTACTGTCAGATGGAAGATAGAACAATAGTCTTAACCAAATTCCGCTGTAAAAATTATTACAGTCTGTTCATCGAGAAACTAGTTTCGGAACCCTTCGCAGTAAGGGTTTAGAAAAAAAGCTTTTCAGAACTTCCTGATTGTGGTTATTGTTTTGTGAATATACACAAATCCACGAAAGATAATAAGCTTAGACAATTCTCGTTTAAGGTTGTGCACAGAATAATCATGACAAAGAAAGAACTACTGAAATATAAATTGGCCTCTTATGACAAATTTTTCTTTCTGCCTTAATCCAGATTCAATTGAAGACACCTTTTTATATTGTCAAGAGGCAAAGGAATTCTTTTCCAAAATTTTAATTTAAGGTGGTCTAATGCCAAATTCAGCTCAAAGCAATTACTTCGTCTCTAGGTTTTACTGCAAAAGAAATACTTGTATACTTGCAAGAACATTGTAACGAAACCTAAGTTAGATGAATTTTTACGTAAGCTTTTTGAACAATATCGCATTGAAAATTGTGCCAAACAATATTAAATATGTGTGGCAACTGACAGGTTTTTTATCTTTCAATACTTTTAATTTTATTGTAATTTGCTTTGTTACTTACTGACTTATTTATTTATTTATTCTTTTACTTTGTGCTGTGTATTAATGTTGTTAACTTGATGTCACAAAAAAGGCACATGTAAGAGCGCGGACTGGAACCCAGAGAAACGAAAGTAAAAGGTGGCAGGGGAGAGGATTGGGGTTTAGTGAACCGAACCCGCTCCGGTTTCCGGTTCCGGTTCGCTCCGGTACGATGTTCGATGTCTTGTTCCAGTTCTTTGCCGTTGTCGTCCATACTGTACCGGATATAGCTTTTCATATGGGCACGAAAAGCTATAGGTTGCCCAAGCAAACTTTATGGTTTGTTTCGCAATGGGCACTGACATTAATCATGAAGCTTTGAATGTTTGCTACTGGTCTTAATCAGGCGAATGTGTAATAGCACGGACTATATATTTCATCCATTTAACTTTTTCAACGAACTACACACAAGTTGTCCAAAATCTAATCACGCTCGTCAGCATTTCCGTATCTAGGACCTTACGCAACTGAATGATCTATGATAAATATAACTTGGGTAAAATCATTTACATTGTACAATATTGTATTTTGCAGGTATGTTTCCCACTTTGGTCGCTGCCATGGTTGTGGTTGCTGCCGTTTGCATTATGGGTGTGTCTTACTTCGCGTGGAACAGTAGCAAGCGAAAGGCTTTGCGTGATTCTCAACGACTCATTGTTGCCGCTGAGGACTAAAAACAGCCTTCAATGAGAAAAACTTTGCGGATTCATTTGAAATTTTTGAATTTCCACTTATTTTATGAGCAGTAGGATATTTTTTTGTTTTTCAAGTTGTTTTTCTAGTTGTTCTAGTTGTTAGACTTGTCTAAAGCTTCTGATCATCAATGGGTAGCCATATCAGTTTCGCTGACCATCAAATTCTCCAACCTGGCTTTCAAAATTCAACTGAGTTTATGAATGAATGATGACTGCTTTGCTTTCGTGAACCATTGCTTCATCGTTATCACAAGAATAACCTCGCCATTACATTTACAACGAGGCTACATATCCGTCGTTATTCTGTTGATAATAAATTCTGAACTAAAGATTTAAAAAATGTTTTTTCCTCAAAGTAGTGGACTATGTTGAAAATTAACCTCGTTGGTGCCTAGTCAGTGCCTAGCAAGTGCCTAGTCTATGACGTCACCCATTGTTATAACCTGGAGAAAAAGTGCCTTCCTCCATATTAATTTAAGTGCCTAGTCAGTGTCTTCCTGCATACTAATTTGGATTTCCTGCATACTAATTAAGTGCCTTCCTCCATATATAATGAAGTGGATAGGTTTACTAATGAGCGTCACTCTACTACAATAGGAACAATAGGCTTGCCTAGACTTGCCCGGGCTCTTTTAACCCTGATTGGATAGTAAACAATCTATTATGTGATTAACATAAAAGCGCGCTCTCCCTTCAGCATATTACTCTTGCAATCGCTTTGCCAAGGAAAAAAGTCTTACTATCACCAATATTCTTTAAAACATTGCTCCAAACATGCAAGTCGAATCGAGCGCTACACCGCTTCTGACAGTAGATGAAGTGGAAAAAGTCCAACGTCAACGGGTAGCTAGCCTTATCGGCCATGTGTTCCAACTGACTTATGCGGCTACGGTTGACAAACTCATTCAAGAAGAAAAGATGAATCGCTGCCACGGTTGTGCTATTCAACACCAAAGTCAAAACCAACATTCTTGCCTCATGATGGATAATGATGACGCATGGATGTATTACCATGATGAAGTGGTGGAACAAATTGACCTTAATGTTATCTTGAAAACGGCTGAAAGTGTGTGCAGTGCTCTTGGTTTCAAACTTGGCAAAACGTGGGAAGCGTACGTGACCGAATTACCAAAGTTGCCTTGGACTAGCATCTATCGCACTTCCTTGGAACTCGAAGATTATGGTGAACTAGAAGATCGAATTCTGTATGCTATTTACTACGGACCTTGTGGACTGAAGTGCAAAGATCCCAGTGCTGTGGAAATTGACAACCAAGATGAAGTGCAATGCCCTGAGAGAGTTGTGAGGAAAGATGAACAACCAATGGATCTTGACTTGATAATTAATGACATTCAAAATAAGCTTTGTTTCTAAAAGTAATAAAATTTGTTTATGTCTAAATTTTGAGTCAGTGTGTGTTTGTCTCTGTCTTTGCTTCGAGTCGACTTAAATTTCAAGTGGGAGATCGCGTCAGGATTAGCAAAGTAAGGAGAACGTTTGAAAAATCTTACTTACCTAATTTTACGGAAGAAATGTTTACTGTATACAAACGAATGGCGCGTCAAGTACCCGTTTACAAACTAAAGGATGACGCAGGTGAAATCTTAGATGGAACGTTTTATGAACCCGAATTACAGAAAATAATTAAGAACGATGATGTGTACCGGGTCGAAAAGATTTTGCGGAAGAGAAAGCGTAAAGGGGTAGTAGAGTATCTTGTGAGATGGAAAGGATACGAAGACTTAAAATTTGATTCCTGGGTTCAAGAAAGTGATATTTTGAAGTTGTAATTTATGCGTTTTCTGTGTAGTGAATAAAAGAAAAGGAAATAATAAAATGAATGGTGTGTGGTTTCTAATAAATTAAGAATACCCATATTAAAAAGTTCATTTCAAGACAGGGCACGATGGAGGTAACACAGTTTTATCTGCATCTCCCTAGCAATAGCAGTCTGGATAAATTTCCTCATAACACATTAACAGAGTACCATGTTGGTTTACCTCAAACCGTTAGCTTGACTGGGGACTGGGAAGTAGCGTTAACAGAAATTCATTATCCTCACAGCTGGAATAATGTCCAAGGAAATTTTGGTAATCGATTATTCCTTCGGAACCAAGAATTGTCCGGAGTATGGGAGGCCCTAATTATACCACCGGGTCATTATTCTTCCATTGAAGATATCTTATCAAAGATGAAAGGGCTAGTCGAGAATGTAAAGCGTTTCAATAACGATGTAACATTTTCCTACGATACGTTCACTAGAAAGGTGACTCTTCACCTACAAAATAACGTAGAACTTTTCTTTGGTAACATTGGATACCTGCAGGGATTTTCACCAGAAGAAATTATTTCTAACACCTCTACCGCTGAAAGACAAGTGGATTTGGAATACGGCTTTCACGATCTTTTCGTTTACTGCGATCTTATTCAGTCACAATATGTTGGCGATGCACTGGTCCCTTTGCTTCGAATTGTTCCCGTAGAAGGAGAGGACGGCCAGCGAGTCAGTAAATCGTTTGTGCGCCCTCAATATGTACCTGTCAGCAGAAAGCAATTTGAAACCATCGAAGTCAATATAAAGCGAGACACAGGGGAATCTGTGCCATTTGAGTTTGGAAGAGTGTTGTTAACACTTCATTTTCGTCAGAGTCAACCTCAGTACTTTTAAAAAATGAAAAAACTCCACGCCCCAAATCATAAGCTTTACGAACAGTACTATGTAGATCAAGCCAAACAAAAAGGTGGGAATTTACCCGCATTTCATGGAGCTCGATTTAAGCGAGGGTATGGCTTAGGTTCGATATTTAAAGGTCTGTTCCGGTGGGCGATGCCTCACCTGCAACAAGGTGCTAAGGTGATTGGAAAAAAGGCTTTACAAACAGGAGTCAATGTCGCCCAAGATGTTCTTGATGGAGATAACATTAAAACAGCAGTCCACAAGCGCACGAAACAAGCCCTCGGTCTACCCTCCCAGAATTCATTGCAGGGACAATCAGGAGCTGGCAAAAAATCTATAAAAAGGAAAGCGCAAGGAACCAAAATCATTTCGCCTCCAGGCAAGAAAGCAAAAACATCTGCGCAGCAAAAGACGCCCGAAGAGAAATATTCTTTCTGGAAGTAACTATGGCCTTTGTGCATCACGAGTCACGCGAGTGTACTAAATCAGAGCTCGATCTTTTTACTATTCCTGCTGCACAAACCTCTATTCACAAAGGGCAATGGATTGAATATCACCCTCTCAGCAACATCACCGACACTGGTCCTATTGAATTTAACGTATCTGGAACCGGAGAAGAATATTTAGATTTAGCGCGAACACAACTTTATCTGAAAGCTAAGATCACGAAAGCAAACGGAACCGCGTTAGATGCCGATACACAAGTGGGTCCCATAAACCTGTTTTTACATTCTCTGTTTTCACAAGTAGACGTTTCCTTGAATGAGCGACTTATCTCTGCATCCACTAATACTTACCCCTATCGTGCCATGATCGAGTCTTTGCTGAACTACGGGGAAGAAGCTAAAACAAGTCAACTTTCTATGGCCATGTTTTACAAAGATACTGCTGGAAAGATGAACGTAGTGAGCCCCTTGGCTGCAGACGATGAAGCAAACCTTGGATTAAAGGCTCGCTATGAGTTTACCAAAGAGAGTCATACGGTGGATATGATGGGACCCATTCACAGTGATATATTCTTTCAAGACCGATTGATGCTCAATGGACTGAATTTAAGAATCAAACTGAACCGAGCCAAGAATGTGTTTTGTCTTGTGTCCTCAGCAGCCGCAGCTAATTTCAAAGTGGTTATCACAGAAGCCATCTTGTTTGTACGCAGAGTCAAGGTTGCCTCCTCTATCATTCTAGGCCATGCAGCTGGGCTAAAACACTCCAGCGCCAAGTACCCCATTCGCAGAATCGACTGTAAAGTACTCTCTATTCCAAGAGGATTTAGCAGTTTTAACCCTGACAACATCTTTTTGGGTCAAATTCCCAAGCGTATAGTATTGGGATTAGAAGACACAGAGGCTTACAATGGGAGTTACCGTACCTACCCCTTCAACTTCAATCACCACAATTTAACTCAAGTGGGTGTGTACGTGGACGGAGAACAAATCCCCCGAAAACCTTTGTTCCTGAAGTTTGACGCCGCTGGTGGTCAAAATGTGATAGCCGGCTATCAAAGTCTTTTCTCTGGTATTGGAAAGCTTTCCCAGGATACGGGCAATCAGATAAATAGAAGTGATTACGGCTCTGGTTACACCTTATTCGCATTTGATTTGACCCCAGATCACTGCCCGGGAGATCATTTTGAGCTTATAAAACAAGGAAACCTGCGCTTGGAGCTTCATTTCTTGGAAGCACTCGCCAACACGGTTAACCTTATCGTCTATGCTGAATTTCAAAACGTGATTGAGGTCGACGCAAACCGAAACGTTCTCTACGACTACACAAACTAAAAATGGACACCATTCAACTGACCCTTATTTTGAGAAAGGACAAATTTACACGAGGTGTGTTTCAAGGCGTGTATCCCTCAGACAAGCTACCTGCAAGTGTTTCGCAAAACCCAGCCTTATACATTGCCAATGTGGATACGAGTGACAAGCCAGGTTCGCATTGGGTGGTGTTTTATTTCACCAAGGAGCAAGAGGGAGAATTTTTCGATTCTTACGGAGCACCTCCCAGCAAATATTCAGGAACATTTACTACCTTTTTAAACACCAGTTCAAACCAGGGGATTTTTAATACCGTGACATTACAGAGCATCTATTCCAAAGTCTGCGGACATTACTGTCTGTATTTTGCTTTATATGGTAGTCGGCAAATAAGTATGAGTACAATTGTGCATCGTTTTTCTAATAACACACGTAAAAATGATAGTCTTGTCAAGCGATTTATTGAAACACATTTTCCTATAAGTCTCCCGAAATATCGCACTGATGTAAACAAGCAAAGAGCACAAGCACAGCACAAAGTTAAATAAATAAACACCTTGTAATTTCTTTTCAACATCTTTTATTGAGTGAACAAAATAAAGAGATGATTTACAACAATAATAATAATGTCTCTTGTGGTGATTTTATAACCGTAACCAGCGCACAGCCTCAGGGCGTGGACTCGCATTTCTTCGCCGCTGTTTTTTCACGGGGCATACCGTCACAGGTGGGCTAGGTAGCCAACGGGAAGGACTGTTAGGGGTTTAAATTCTCGAACAGCACTTTGCCTCTGTGGATTACGCAATATATTTTCCACTGTTATATTAGCTTCACATTCTTTGTTACAGTTTGTCGCCTTTTGGTGTCGCTGTGCGTTTATCGTAGCTTCCGATTGGTTCGTTTTATCTATTTAAGATGCTGTTTTCAGTTTGTTCTCTCTCTCTCGCTTGCGACCTTAGCACTTTAGAGCTGTTTACTGCTTCGGACGTTTTAGATCTGGCCCCACCCACCCTCCCTTTTCTCAGGCTCCTACGGGTGTTTTTTCATTTTATGTGCTTTTGATACTGCTTTTTTTTCATCTGTTTTCAGGCGGTAGAGATGTTTACGTGGGCCGCGCGAGGTGCTTTAAATGTCACAAACTCGGCCACTGGGCAAGAGAATGCACTGCCTCCTGGGATAGCCCACGAAGTACTTATCGCGGAACCACATTCACCCCAAGATACTCGCACAGTACCTACAGACCCAGTCACGGAGCCCACACTCAACCCGGTGCAAAGCAGTAATGTTTTTGATGAGGAGGTTGCTGATATCGCTCAGGTGCATTGCGATAGCGAATTGTTTAATTTTGAGTTAAGTACTAGTCCGCCGTGTGTCAACGTCAAGGGAAATCTTCGTAGAAACTTCGAATTTTGGAAGCATATTGGAACCCCTAGTTTTATTCTTAACGTTATAGAAAGGGGTTATTTGTTGCCTTTCGTTAGTTTTCCAACCAGCGGTTTTCAAAAACAACAGATCGTCTCTTTCACATGCCGAGTTTGTTGAGGAGGCTATTCAAGTTTAGTTGAGTCGGGTCGTGTTGTCGAAACCAATGTACCCCCCGGGTGGTCAACCCCTTTTCCGTATCTGTTCAAGCTAATGGAAAGAAGAGGCTCATTCTTGATTTAAGATACGTCAACAAGTTTCTTCGTAAGTTGCATGTTAAATACGAAGACTGGAAAACAGCTATGTATTACTTCTCGCGTGGTGTATATGTTTTTCCTTCGATCTGAAAGTGGGTACCACCACGTTGAAATTTTTGAGGGCCATCAAACATATCTTGGTTTTTCCTGGAAGCATTCCTGTTCCAATCAAGTGAAGTTTTATGTGTTTACAGTTTAACCTGTCGTATTATCGTCCGCCCCTCACGTGTTCACAAAAATTCTTAGCCTCTTGAGAAACATTGGAGGCATCAAGGCATTTGCGTTGCTGTTTTTCTTGACGACGGATGGGGTATTGAAAATTGGATTCTCAAGTGTGCAGTATTGTAGCTGATGCCGTTAGAACTGACCTTTTTTTAGGGGGTTTCGTTACTAACGAGGATAAGTCAGTGTGGATACCTTGCCAGAGGCTTGATTGGTTGGGTATCACTTGGGATATCGCTCGTGGAACCATTGAAATATTGGATAGGAGGGTTGCCAAAATTACTGGTACCATTGAAAGTATTATCGACTCCGATTTTGTTCTTTCTGCCAGAAGATTGGCCTCTTTTACAGCAGATAATTTATACAGCGCCTGTTTCCGGGAACATTTCTAGGAGCATGACTAGGCACTGCATTATGTCTACATTAAGCGCGCAGCACTGGGACTCGAAAGTTAAGATGGTTCCCTATTGCATTGAGGAGCTATATTTTTGGAAAAACAACCTAAATTCCATCAAAGTGCGCGATTGGTTTTCTCTTTAATAAGCCACAGCGTTTCGCTTACTCCGATGCCAGCCCTGCAGGGTGCGGTTCAGTTACTACCCTTAATGAGGATTGTGTGTGTCACAAGCTTTGGGAGCCTTCCGAATGTTCTAAGAGCTCTACTTGCAGAGAACTTGCAGCCATTGATTTTTCTCTAGAGTCTTTTGCGCCAATTTTAAAGGTTCACTTGTCAAGTGGTTCACTGATAGCCAGACGGCGGCTAGAATTATAGAAGTCGGAAGCATGAAATTGGATTTGCACAGGCTGGCTCTTAAATTTTTTCAGTTTTGCGCGGAGCACTCTATTCGTTTGGAGGTGCAGTGGATCCCACGAACTGAAAATGAGAAGGCAGATTATATCAGTCGCCTTATAGACTTTGATGATTGGCAAATCACGCATGATCTTTTTCTAAGTTTGGAAGAGTTATGGGGCCCGCATACAGTTGACTGTTTTGCCAATTATTATACAGCTAAGCTTCCTAGCTAGATTCTTTTCGCGTTTCTGGAATCCGGGTGTGTCTGGAATTGACTTCTTTGCCCAAGACTTAAGTTCCGAGAATTGTTTAGTGGTTCCTCCAGTTTCTGTTGTTGCTCGCGTTATCCATTATCTGAGCCTACAGAAAGCGATGGCTGCTCTTGTAGTCCCATTATGGCCTTCGTCCAGTTTTTGGCCTCTTCTGACGAGCAAATATCGGTCGTTCATTAAGGATACTTGACGCTGAATGCATCCCAAGCTCTCACCCTGGAAAGAAATTTTAGTTCATTCCTTGGTTCTCCTCGTTTTACAGGGGAGGTTCTCGCGCTTAGATTCGAATTTTTGTAGGGATTATCCAGCTTTATTGCCCTTGGAGTAGGTCACTCTGAACTAGCTTTTAGTGCTGGTATTTGCAGGATTTGACACTGGTCATTAGTTGCATGGACAGCTGTGTCCAGGGAAAATGACACTGGCCATTTGAAGGGACGACTGCGTCCGTTAGAGAAGATTTATGTCGTTTTAGATTTTTGTTAGTAGAACGAGGATTCGAGTTCTCTCGAGAATGGGAGACCTGTTCACGTATGAAAAATTGTGTCCTTTTTTGACACTGGTTCGCGAATCGTAACTCAACCCGCTATTCTGGCCAAGGTTTTTTTTTTTTTGCAAGGTTGAACTGCGTTGTTCTTGTTGGTTTAGGTTATTTACCCTCTTAATCAAGGCTGTAACTTTGTTTTTGCTGCTCGTTAGGTTATTTAAGTGTCTGAGTTGACTGTGTCCTAGACAGGGTGTTTCCTACTTTATATTCGTTTGCCTGTAGTTTATGGGGCCTTTTGGGGGATTTAAATGATCTACTAGAGCAAGTCGCGTTTAGGGTATATATGTAGTTATTACTCGTTTGTTATTAAGCTTTCTTTGTAGGTTATTCGCTAGGCCTTTGTTTAGGAGCTACTTTGCATGCCTATTTTGCCCCGGGGAGGTCAGTGTAGTTTCTTTCTATTATTCTGCTTCAGAGATTGCGTCATAGGCATAGGGCCGTTTATTAGAACCGCTGTCATCGCTTGCGTCACATTTCCTAGAGCCGCTATCCTGTTGTTGCAAAATTTTGGTGATATAATTTTTTCTTGCAGGTCGTAGTTGCAAGTAAAGCATGGATGGTGCTGCCTCCTGCTATTAGGCCGGATTTCAATTCTTTATTTAAATGTTTGCTTAGTTCTAGGGCGGATTCTACTGTGAAGAAATATCTTAAGGAGATAATTATAAACAGGTTTTTACTGTGGTGTAGGACTCGGAAAATTGTGCTACAGTTGCCATTTTCTTCTTCTGTTGTCGCGCTTTATCTATTTTGCTTAGATCAACAGCTTAGGTCTCCGGCCGCAATGGTTTTGGTCCATGCTGCGCTGAAATGGTTCCATTCCTTTGTTCCTGATGATGGTCCCAATCCTTTGGATAACGCTTGTTGCAAGAACTTGATTGAGTGCGCCAAGAGGACAAGGAGCAATCCAGTTCACAAGAAAAAGCCCGTGGACCCTGCTATCATTAGAAGCATTATTGACAGACATGGCGCTGAGGAAGCACCTTTAAAGGACTTACGTATTGCCGCAATAAGTTCATTAGGTTTTGCAGGATTTTTTCGTTTTAACGAGTTGGCTAATATTCAGCCAAAACACCTCACGTTTTGCGATGGTTTTGTAGACATTTGTGTGCCAAGGAGTAAAACGGATGTATATAGAGAGGGCAATTATGTTTATATCGCTAAGCTAGAGAACAAATACTGCCCAGTAGCTATCTTACGTAAGTCATTTGCCTTTATTCAACGAAGAACAAGTCGGGTTATACTCTTAGGAATGGCAAGTTATCCTATCGCTCGCTGCAGGGAAATATTTAAGACTACTTTGAAAGACTTAGTCTGCGTTCAGGGGGTGCTAAAGCTGTTATCAGTGATGACGCTTTCAAAGCCGTTTCTGAGAGGTTGTTTAAGCTTCATGGGCGCTAGAAAACAGACGAAACGAAAGACATGTACGTTTTAGAGACAATGTAATCGTTTAAGTGTGACGAAATATTTAGGTATTTAGCTCATATTTAAATATGTTATCTGTTTTTCCTTTACCAATGCTGTACGATTCCTTTTTATTAAAGTGTTAGGGTTCGCACGCGATCCACCCATATCTGACTTCGCCTGGTTTTTGCGGTTATTTAAGCGGTAAATAATTTACGTTCGTTTGAGCGAAGCGAATTAGAACGTAACTAGATTTTCCGGGACATTCATTCGGGCCAGACCCCTCGCAAACACCGACCATCCCACTGGTTCAAATCCTTTGCGGTGGCGCAATGTGTCGTTGACTAGGTCTACCAGATGAGAACCTGGAATGGGTTTGGTTTCATACAAAAGCTCTCCTTTATCATTCCAATGCAATACATCTTGATGCTCTTTAATTTTATCCAACAGTTGTCTAGCCCCGGCTTTGTAAATTTTGGGTACACTTTTCATGACCTCTCGCTTTACGGCTGATGAAGTGAATTTTTCCGGGACAGGTTCTTCCGAAGGTTGTTCATTTTCTTCTGGTTTAGGTGTTTCCACTGCTTTGGGGGTTGACATTTTCAGATGAAGAGGTTGACCTTTTCGCTGATCGTAATAAGTCAAGTACCGCTGCAACACTTGATTGTAAAGCCTAGCTTTTTGTTCATCATCAAGTTCTTTACTGGATAAAATATCGGTCATTTCACTATCCAAGTTTCTCAGAGTTTGTGTGACGGGTGGGGTTAAAATCTGCTGGTACTGTTGTAATCTTTCCAAGGTGTTCTCGGGCACGAGAACCATAGGCTTTGTGTGATTCATTTTAGGTAAGAATCGAACTTAACACACGGAGAACGGGAGGTAACAAAATTTCCTCCGTGTTGCACTAACAATTTCTTTTTCTTATCGAGCGGTGTACTTTTTTCGGCTAAAGCGATCAAAGATTTCTTGTGAGGTAAAAGTTTTTTCTTGGCTGGCTTACTGACAGGCACTGTTCCTTTAAGCACGTTTAAAACACACTCACAAATGGTTCTTACTAAAGCGTCGTCTGCCACCTTCAAAATAGCTTTACGCTGAGCTGGGGTACACTTGACAAGCAGTTTCAGAAAATCGTGGTTCTTTCTCAGTCGCTGTGTCATCCTCAACTGAAGAAATGTGATGTGGTTCACGCTTTTTATACTTTTCTGACGTAAGCGTACTGAGTCTCCCCGGGGAAAATATTCGTACGCAGCCGGAAGTCGGTGGGTGTTTCCGGTTTAAGATCGCAAAATAAATAACCATAGGGCCTTTTTGTTGCATCCTCAAACGCTTCTTGCATGTATTTGACATGACCGGGAAACATTTGTCCCGCTAAATGATTGACCTGACTGCTATCACGCGGGCTTTTGAACACCACTAAGTAATGAGAATTCAAACTCATATCTCTCAGTTCTTTTCCACTATGAAACATGTTTTGGAGAATAAAGATCACGCTGAGATTGCGATGGTGACAGCCCTTGGTAAACAAATTAGTCATTCGCTGATCATTGCTAAGCTCGTGCATTAAGTTAGCCTGAGTATCGGGCCTTCCTAAGGGAATAGGGGAGAGGAGATTTTTGATCAGGGGGGGGGGGAGAAGAGAAAGGAAGACCTGACACAAAACCATTCCGCAAATCGTGTGACACATCCAGAATCTGGATGTGGCAGTGATTGGATAACACACAATACACCCTGACGTCACCGACCGCAAGTAAACACGAGCAGAGTGTTTTGATTGCATGTGGTAATTTTATGGATAGAGACGCAGAGAGGAATTCAAAGAGACTCTAAAGGGCGCTCTCAAGTTCTTTCCGGGAATAAAAATAAAACCCGAGCAAGAATTGTGTTTTCAGAGCCTCGTAGTTAAAAGGAAAGATGTTCTCGGAGTATGGAAAAGCCTCATATACCAGCTTCTGCCGAAACTATGTCCGAGTATTGGTTTCACAAGACCAGGACAAAGAAGACTATATCAGTGCTTCAGATATCTAAGTTTTGATTTACAACATCCTGCCGCTAAAAGGGTATTGTTACTGTAAATAAAACAGTAAATAAAATTAGAGCGAGGTAGCCATGTATATTATTGAGAATAGCCGACAGCACCAAGGCTTTAGCTTGACTTTAGATTTTCCCTCGGACGATTTTCGGCCTGATCTACAGCAGCTTTTTAGCTGCCAGATTCTTCAGGAACCTGCTTATTAATGAGCGCCGCTGTTGTAACTCTGTAACAAAAGCAGTTTACAGTTTTCCGGGCACACGTTTATTTACAGACAGAGCGTTGGCGATCTTACATTAGCACAATTCCTAAAACATGTTATAAAACATGTTCAAAAACGGCAGGTTTTCCATTACAAGTATTCGAAAACTCCTCATTGGAGGTTTCAGAAAAAGCGAAATCGTAGCAACACAAGCACCAGAGCTCGGCCAGACCGTATGGTGAGATTTATTTTAGGCGAGCTTTTTGACACGTGAAGCTGACAACCCAATGACCGGATGTGATTTTGATTGGATGGTATCGAATCATGCTGTGTTGGGGTGGAAGGCTCCAGTAAAAGCATCTGTGTCAGGCGTTTCTCTCCTTCAGCTCTCTCCCTTTTTCGCTTCCATCTTTCCCCTTTTCCCCCAGAAAAGCCTGATACTCAGGCTAGCATTAAGTCATCAATGGCTGTGGTCACACTTGGGATTTGACGTTGGTAAAAGGCTTTAACCGTGGTAAAAAGGATGTAAAAAAACTTTACTATAGTAAAACTCATTAGTTGACTTAACACGTTCCAGATGGTTTCCCAACAGAAATGTGTCACTCAAATGACGAGCCTGAGGACAGGTGATAATTCTTACGACATTCCATGAATGTTTTATTTTTTATCCAGTTTACGTGACTGTCTGTACATCATACATTCACTGAAAATTGTGCCGCTGCTTATACTGTTTCTATCCCATTATTTTCTCGGCCAAATATAAGCGGTCGATGCTGAATTACTTCGCGATCGTGATCGTCTGAAAAACCGCCTGGTGGGATTACGAAACGATTGAGGAACGGTGGAACTCTAGAGTGAAAAGAACATGAAGGTTTCTTAAAAAAAGCGTGCCAACCAAAATCCATATTAAGACGATAGATAGAAAAAATGTGGCTACACGGAATAAAAAAACACTTGAATTGAATGATTTACTTCTAAATTTATGCTCGACTCAGAAATGAAACACGAACATTAGATGTAGGCGTATGATTCCTTGAAATCCAGAATTTACTGTGGACTTGCCTCGGATGAAAGCGAAAATTGTCTGAGGACTCTCTGAGTCACTGTGACATCTCTACTGTACTATTTGGCACAAAAAAAGCAAAAGAATAGGCTAGCAGCGCTAAAAATACATGTATAAGTATTCAGCAACGTGACGCTCAGGCAACGCATCTCAAATAATGCGACTAGATGTCAACTGAATAAACAAAGTTTAGATATACCAGCGATAAACCATATCGTTTTAGGAAAGTTTACTATAGTAAACTTTGCTTTCATTCTACCGCCGTTGCCACCGCAACAGACTAGATCTGTGTTTACTATAGTAAAATGAGAAAAGCCGGTCACATTAGAAAACGTGTTTACAGCAGTAAACTCGACTTTACTATAGTAAAAAAAGCCCAAGTGTGACCACAGCCAATGACGACTAAATTCCGAATAGAGGGATTAATTAGGGTTTCCAGATCACCAGGCACCCCTTCAACAAACATAATGTTCGGAATAGTTTTAAGCATCTCATCGTAGGCTGGTTGATACATGCTATAACACCAGATGATATTTTCCGGGGCACCATCAATCATGTCTTCTCCTGCTTCTAGTAAACGTTTTACAAACTGACTTTTCCCAGAACATGTTGGGCCGGCCACAAGGGCGGGGAAAGGATGTTTCCATCTCGGGTCTATGATCACAACTGATTAACTGATTTGTGCGTACTCTCATTTATAGAAAAAAATTGTTTTGGATTCAGCCTCCTTGTCATACACACGAATCGCATTGGTATTTTGTAATTTTGCAAATTGAAGCCAATATTTTCGTTCTATTTCCGATAACTCGTGGACTTGAGTTAAATGATTTGCTAATCGAACTAAGAATTTAGAATGACATCCCGGTATGGGGCAGTGTTTACATTTTAGTTTCTTCATGCTGACAGGACGAATGTTAGATACCAACTGAGTAAAACTATTTGCGACACGAAATTTATTGTTGATTTTCAAGGGCAGATCGGGCAGAAGGGGCAGAAAGGGCATCTTTTTAGCCCTGTGTTTTTTCCCCTGGGCGCGCGTGGAGATCTCGCGTGTAAGTCGTGCGCGTCGAGTCAGGAAACAAGCCACGATTAAATTCAACCAATAATTTATTTACAAACTAATTTCCTGTGTACAAACATCCGTGAAAAGCTACGCAAAAATACTATTTACAACTAGAGGCGATCTTATATAAATATTTCGGAAAACTATTTTGAGAGTAATATATATGCAAACTTGAGAAAACGAAAATTATTTACAAAATCAATTTTTTACAAACTTGAAAACTTAAATATCGAGTGGAGTAGTGCTAACTCCATCTGCGAGAACTTTACGTTTCGGGTAAAAATACGAAAATGCATCCCTAACTTGCTCATAAGTGTACATGGTGTTGTTAACAGCACGAAAACCTCTGTTAACACCTGAACTATTCTGTTTTGTGAGCAACACTTGTAAATACTTGTCTTTGTTAATCTCGTTGCATTTCTTGCTGACTCCTTTGCAAGAAAACTTATCTTTGGCCCCAAAACAGTGGTAGGTTTTTGAACACCACCCGATAATTCCTTGTCCCTCCCACTCAACCTTAAAAAGACCCGGGGTTCGCTTATCGTAGGCTTTATGCTCGGGTGTATCCGTACGGGGAAACCAGTTAAATTTATCGGCTTCGAACTCTGCTTTCAATTCTGGTGTGACTAAACTTTCCACACTCTCCCCAGCAATAGCGATATACGCACTGTCCGTATCCATTTCACACATTTGAAAATCGCTGCGATCGAGATACTTGTCTAGAAAATCATAATAAAACTGCAGCATGCGTAACTTAGCATACTGATACACAAAAAACCCGACTTGAACAGGTAAGTTTAACTTAATAGTTTTCTTACAAGACTCTACTTCGTAATTGTCTTCTGTGATATTATCCAGTTTTCGGAACAGGGGAGTGTTGACTTTTCGGCTGGCCTCTGCGTCACTGCAATACTCCACGTTTCTGTGGTTCAACTGGTTAGTGATCGTCTTACCATAGCCTGAATTGCCCACCTGAGAGATAAACAAAGATAAAAGTTTTTTCTATTCGTGAAAATGTATATTGTTCCCACACCTTTTTGAATGAAAGAATGAAACAAAAACTTACCAGTTTCATGGTATCTGCAATGATGGCCTTCCTAGAATCCGCATCCCCAGCTCTCCTAGCGTCGGACACAGCGTCTCCAAAGGGTTTAAAACAGGGCTCAGGGGTGAATTCAACCACTTGGTGCACTTTGGTGACTTCCAGGCCGTGTTCTAAGTACCATTTGAGGAGGGGTGTGGCCAACAAGATTTTTTTCTCCTTTCATACTTCCAATCAAGCTTCGCCGAGGCTGAACCATGATGTTATACTCTTCTGCGTAAGCTTTCATGAAGTCTCCAATATCATCGCGGCTGATGTTGGTGTTTTTGAAGATGGGGCATATTTCACTGAATTTCTCTTTCAATTGTTCAGGCACACGAATATCTACTTCCACGCACCCAAACAAACGCTCATTTCGCACCTCGCTCAATATTCGCTCCGGGCTCATGATCTTGATGGTATCCAAGGTTCTTCTTACTTCGGTGGCAATAAATCGCTGTAATTCACGATTCGTTTTCTTCATTTCTCTCCACTGACATTCATACATTTCCACCACGTTGTACCCTTTGCTGCGGATATACTCAGTGTTGGCTCTCGTTTCTTCTCTGATCTCAGCCATGGGTTTGTTTCGTTTCTCGTTAAACTCTTTCCCGCCGTTGAGAGCGCAGTCATGGCCGTGCCAATAACACCCCTGAAACTGGTACACAGTTTGTGACTCAACATTGAAACCGTCGACGGGAAGTTTACGATCCCCAATGCGCTTCTCTGTATTGTTCAGCTGATGTCTGATATGTATTCTGTCTTGGTGCGCCACCCATTTCAACCATTCAATAGCCATGCGTACAGAACTTTTAGGTTTGAACTCATTCTCTGCTAGGCGTCTCGTATAACTTCCCGTGGGCATATCTTGCATGAGCGCCCAGAGATAAAGCGCATTCGCGTCATAGCCCACGATCTTTTCACACGGCTTAGCAGCCTCGCCTTCCTCTGCTTGTCTGATCTTTGTTTTGCCTGCTTCATGATGTCGATGGAAGATGATTGAGGGGCCGCCTGTGTTGTTGTCTTTAATGAGGTGATAGAGATCACTGTTCGCTTGATCGAAGAGACTGAAGTACGTTTGTTTGCCCAGAAACGAAAATAAATACTTGAGGGTGAGACCAGGCACAGAAATCCCATCTTTAAACATATCAATCTTTCTCTCTTGCCAGAACTGACTCATTTTCTCTACTGCCTCGAGGAAAGGTACTACATCCAGATTATTGTACCAAACCAAGAAATCTTTAAAGGTGGACATTTCATTGTCTTCCCATACTTGCTGGCAGTATCGGTACTCTTCACCCGTGATGTTAGCGTTCTTCAGACTGGAGTAGAAGGCAGCGTGAGGGGGCAGCGATGTTTCTTCTAGCTTGTGCAATTTATCGACCCACTGATATGGGAAAAATCCCTTGGTCTGTTTGCACTCGTACGCTTTCAGGAACTGATCGTAGCTGAACCCTGGAGCGAGATAATTAGAGATGTCCAGAAACTGTAAAGAGTCTGTCTTGATACACATATGATTATTATTCCTTTTCACAGTAAACTTGATGGGCTGATGCTTGATGAGGTACGGGAACAGGAATTCTTTGGAAGCATTCAGGTCGTACTTTCCGGAATTGAAACCCAACACTGGCAGTTCTTGTATATAGGCCTTCAGTTTCTCCTCTAGTTGACTGAGGACTTTCTGGTCACTGACGTCCTCTGAACTACCTACAATATCTTGTAACTCTTCTAACTGGTCCCGCGTCTGTCTCAGTTGCTGTCTTCTTTCTCTGTCCACTTCAACGTTCAATCTTCTGTAAAAGGAGACGTCTTCCTGTTCTTGTATTTCATCATCGAGAAAGGCGCGGTCTTCTTCATTCTCCGGTTCAATTTCCTCTTCATCCTCTTCATTATCACTCGCCATTAGATCAATGTCTCTACTTTGATCTTCGCTCTATTCCTCGCTATTTTCATCTTCGCCAGCCTCTACATTTCCTTCGTGGATGTCTACGAGTATTTGCGCTAATCGTTCTTCGTGAGGTTCACTGTTATTCGGGCCTCTTGCGATTTTAAGAGCTTCAAATACTTCTGCGTGCTAATCGTGGTGAGGTACTGCACAAACTCTTTAAGAAGTAGGTCTGAATCTCCCTCTGACACGAAACATTTAGGTGCTTGGTAACCAGGCACGTTGCTGCATACACTCACACTTAAGGGCACATGGGCGGATTGCCAGGTTAACTTTTCAGTGTTCTTTAATTCTTGCGCTTTCTCTTTATCAAAGTAACATTCAAAATCAAAGGTGGCGCGGTAAGGGAAGTACCGCCATTCTTCTGGTACGACAATACCTTCGTCTTCTAATTCTTCAAAGATAGTTTTAGGGACATGGTAAGCTCCGCCTGGGTACTTCAGCTGGACTTTGCCGTCACAGGTCTTTTCGTGTCTATTCAGTCTGGACGATTTCTTCCAGTACTTGCCACATCTTGAACAGCAGAAGGATTTACTGGACCGGGCCAGGTCTTTAATATATGAGAAATGGTTTTCGTACAAGTTCAAGTAAAGCGTGCTGGAGTAGTGGCGATGTGAGCGGCGGAGCAGGGTGGCGGCAATCCGGGAGTATTTTCTTCATTGTCTTCGTCTTCACTGTGGCTCTGAGTAGGCGCGAGACTGTATACTTGAATATTCACTTCATACAATTTTTCTAGGTCGTCTAGTTCGGACAACTTGACCCCATGGACCTTCTTTTTGGATAGGCCAGCGTCTCGATACTGTTGGTAATAGTGCTTGGTATCTCTCTCTAGGTTCTTAGTATGGCAACCATTGTGGAGAGCCAGACAGCGGAAAAAACACAGATTATCTTCATAAGGCTTGCCTCTTCTGATAGCGCGATCGAGTGGGGTGATTCCCGTGTTGTCCACGATATAACCTGGTAAATATTTGCCACGGCCGATCGGGTGGTCTCGAATCTTCCAAACAAACCAGGTAACATTCGTCACGAGATCCACGACCCATTTTGAATTTGGTCTCTGCTGTCGAACCCACTCCAAGTAATCGATCTCCGCTATCTGCTGATATAGGCGCTCTAAATCGTCTGGACTTGAAATCAGGAACGGATGTTCTAGCACCAAATGGTTGTTCGCGGATGGATGATGATACTGGAGGGCCCCAGTCTCTGTATTACGGAGAATAAAACCAAAGGAAAAGTTCACTTTAAACACAGTAGGCTGATCAGCAAAAATGCAGTCCAGTTGTTCGCGGAGAGCGGTGGGAATGATCGTGGACAGGCGGAAATTGTACCAGTCTTGTAAACGGTTACGGCGACTAAATCGGGTACGGATCTGGGGCCAGTGTTGACGGTACGTGTGGGTGATATTTTCCTCCGCGGCAGGAATAAGGTTCGAAAAAATGAGAACAGGATCTTCTTGCCAGCTAGACCCAGGCGCTGAGGTTTGCGGTGTAGTTGGTGAAGTACCAGGATCAGCGGACTTCTTGTGTTTTTTGGCAGCAGGTGCGTCTGTGTTTTTAGCGGCGGGTCGTTTTCTAGTTGCAGCGGCGGGTTGTTGATGAGCGGTGCGAATATGAGTGTTGTAAGGAGCGCGGTTGTGAAAGGTTTCGCCACAGGTTGCGAAAGTAAACGTACGATCGGCAGCTTGTTTGTCGTGCGCTTTCAGGTGACGATTGAGATGCGATTTTTGGGTGAAGCTTTTGTCGCAACGGGTGCATTCGTACGGTTTCTCATCAGTATGGGTTCGCTGGTGAGTAATTAGATGATTGCGGCGGGTAAAGGTCTTGCCGCAGGTGTCACAACGATATTCTTTACGAGGCTTTTTGGCTGGTGGAGGGTGACCATCCCCGGATTGAATTTCCTACAATTAGTAAATATGACCTAGTCTTAGTGTAAAGCTCAACTAACAAGAAACTCCGATAAACTCTATTTGTCTACAATGAGCGTCTCAACAACTGGGTAGATGGTTTGTTTTTGATGTTGAATCAACAGAATAAATTCAATTTTATGTGTCGATCCACGACATAATTGACTTGCAGAGATAAGCGCGTGGATACTATTATAACTCTGCTATATTGCTATAATCAACTGCTTAGTGGAAATAACTTAAATTGCTCTGATACCTGTTTGAGTATATAATACGCTGTCTATTTTCTTCAACTCAGCTTGATGATTGAAGAATATTAGTACATTGAGCAAATGCTTTGTTTTTATTTTCAACAAAAGAATAGAATAGATTTCAATATGGGTGCAATCATCCGCAAAAAACGAATTCACTTATGTGATCAGTGGAAAGGGGAATCGATCAAGAATAAACTACTTACTCCTTCAAAATCATAAATACCAAGCCAACTGTAAGTTTTATTTTCTTCCGACACTTATAAACGATGGAATGAATGATATTGTCTTTTTGGTGAGCCTAATCAATGTCATTTTCAAAGGGTATATATTTCAAAATTCCCTGCTAGCAGAGGTCTCTCACGACGAGGCAAAAATGAGAGAAAGGAGAGAGACCTCTGCCGGCTTCCGACGCGTTTCCTATCACGCCTGCGCTGGCGTTTCCTTAACAATCAGTGACGTTTTTCTCACGTGCGACACAACCCACGGAACCGGTTTGCGCGCGAAACTTCAGTTGAAGGCGGGGGTATATGTTGTGGAGAATTCTTCGCAATGTGAATCGATGCCGAGAACTCCACAATCTCGCAAATTTGGGGAAAGAGCGTCACCTCGGAAGCCCATTAAACCAGTTGGGTCTGGAAAAGACGTTAGATGCCTTTTGTGTGGTTTAGATTTTAAAGGTGAAAGGTGTTGACAGGCCAAACACGACTCATAAGCTCGTGATAGTGTGATACGTGACCTTATAGTTTTGCTCTAACGAGGATATCTCCCAGCCATTTTGCTCTTTTATATGAAATGATCTTAGGCTCGTTGTATATTTCTCTCAGTAGGGGTTGATCTTGAATTAAGTGCCATTTGCTCATTAAAATGTTTTTAAGGTTCGGCAAAGCAGGGTGGTATGTGGTAACGAAAGGCAGAATTTTCTTTCGCACTTCATTGTTCTTTTGTAAAGCTGACTTCCGTTCGGTAAATTTAACCTCAGAGGTGATTTTTTCTATGAGATTGTGAGGGTAACCTCTAGCGCGAAGGCGTTTTTTTGAAGTTGTAGATGTTCTCATAGAAGGATTTAGCTGAGGAGTTCAAAGGAAAGACAACTAAAACCACTGGTTCTGTAGAGAAGAGATCCTTGTAATTGTAAACAACAGATAACTCGGCCGCCACTCGTACTGCTAGTTGGTAAATTAAAAATTTGCCGTAGCCCGTCGGGAGACACGCAAACGTATCGCGTCCTTTAAGGAAACCAAGTAAGACTTTTCTTCGTAGGGAAGTTATTTCTTTTATATATACGTTTGTCGCCAAGCTTAGAAACGGATAATTTTATGGCTTGATCAAAGTGAGAAATTTCGAAACTCGCGGATCTCATGGAAGCCATAATTCACTGTGGGCTCAATAATTGTCATCGTACAGTTTAACAAGGCACGCGCATTACACATTAAACGTAACCGGTTTTAAAAACCGGTAAGTTTCGACCAGAAATCTGGTCGGCGGCTTCATCAAACAACGCGTCGGAAGCCGGCAGAGGTCTCTCTCCTTTCTCTCATTTTTGCCTCGTCGTGAGAGACCTCTGCTAGCAGGGAAATTTCAAAAAAACTTTAATAGGAACGTTTGCACTCAGCGTATTCTAAACAAGTGAACGTGAAAGATTACTTACGGTTTCCGACGGGTTGCAAGTCGGTAATTCACTGGTTTCGCCAGTCCACTGAAAATGAATAACAAATATACACATAAGTGATTGAACAATTAATAATAGCACAAACTTAATTCCGTGAAAGAAAAATAATTCTATTATCACGAATTCTTACTTCGTCCAAGAAATTATCCCATGTATCTTGCGTTGATAACAGTGCCGACTCGTTGTTGTTCTAGATAAGAAGAGAAGAAATCAGATTACTTTAGGTTTTGAAATCCCCCCTATTTTAACGAAATAGGTGGGTATTGAACGAATAAGGAGATTCGTAATGCTGTTTCATCACTAAACAAATCATTTACGTTGCGTATTAAAAAGGGAATGGAGTTACCTTGTCTAGCGTCATACTTTCCATCTCATTTACGACCTGCATTTCTTTAGCTGTAAACTGTAAAGCAAGGAAACATATTCGATGAGTATTATATGACAACTGTCTACAAAACGTTGAAGCAAATCGAGTTTAGAAGTCCTTTTGTTTCATGAACGAAGATAACAAAATATACGCGATTTAGTTTAATAGATCAGATGCAAATCTAACCCAAGTCGAGTCTATTAACATAACGAACATAAATGATGGTTGAAAACTCGGTTACAGAAAATTACTCAAGGTCGTTTTTCAAGACTTACTGAATCGCTCAGTAGATCGTTGACTTCATCACTCACCGTGTGCTGATTGATTTCAATCTGTGGAGTAGAACGTTAAGTAAAGATTAATGTACACTCGCTTCGGTAACGTGGAAACTAAAACAACAACTCGGAAACAACAGAAAAAGATCAGCGAAGAACTAAGATGGAACAAATTAGTTACCAGTATCTCTTGGGCTGTGAGTTCCGACAGCCGAGCATACGCCATTGGGATCCACTCATCGGCTATCAAAATAGATTCCAGCAATAATTCCCAATCGTGGGTCGAGGAACAACTATCCAAAAGAGCTTGAAATTCGCGAACGTTGGTAACAAAAGCCATGATGCTCAAAAAGTGAACAGAATTTTTTTTTTCAAACACGCGAACTCGAACAAATTGTTTTCCTTAGCAAAGCGATTGCAAGAATAAAATGCTGAACGGAGAGCCCGCTTTTATTTGGAAGATAGAATATATTCTACATGAGCCAATCAGGGTTAAAAGAGCCCGGGCAAGTCTAGGCAAGCCTATTGTTCCTATTGAAGTAGAGTGACGCTCATTAGTAAACCTATACCGAATTAGTATGCAGGAAGACACTGACTAGGCACTTAATTAGTATGCAGGAAATCCCCTTTTTACCTTTATAGGTTATAACAATGGGTGACGTCATAGACTAGACCCATATGCCTATTAATAAAGGGAATCCACTTTTTGCGAGGGAATCCACCAACGGGGCTTATCTTTGACCCTAGTCTACTACTCTTCAATTATAATTTTTGTTTATTCGACCTCTTCTGCTGGCCTTACGCGCCTACTCCATTTAATTATTAGTGATTCATTACGTACGTATGAGTAGGACAAAAACTGTCCAGAGATTCTGCATCTCCGTATTATCTACGTTTTTTTGCATATTTAAAGTAATAAACTGGTTCTACTTAAAAAACGCTCTCATATTTGTCCTTCTTCAAAGAATGCGGTTGTCTTTAGTATATTTAACTTTCTTTAACTTATTACTTATTTTTTCGGACTTATTACTCAGAAAATTGTTTGTACTTTCAGTGACCAAGAATCTATAATAGCGATTGGAACGAATAACTTTACGCACGGGGCATTTTTCTATGAGCGCCGAGGATGTAAAAACTAAGAGCCTGTTTACCTGGAGGTGAGGGAACCCAGGTAGGTGAGGTAACCCGCTTAGATTGAGTAGCCCGCCTGTCCACGTAATCTATCATTTTAATTTGATCATGTTTACATGATAAGTGGGGTGATCATATTAGAGATTATACGGGCAAGCGGGTTACTTCACCTGCCTGGGCTCCCCCACCTCAATGTAGACAGAAAGACCGTTTGGAACAGGACTTCTGATCATGTGCTGGATTGAGTATCTGTTGGGGCGAGGAGGGAGGGGTGTTCGGTCAGGAGGGGAAACCTGTGAGTCGTCGTTTCCAAAAAACCCCATTTTAAAGTTCAAGATGGTACTGAAAAGGTGAACGGACGAAAAAAAGATCACCACTGACTAGCACAGGACACCAAACTTTATGAACTGCGTTCTCCTAAAGTCTAACGACGTAAGGTCGTTAAGATTCTGTCTCCTTGGTCTCATTTCCAGGTGGCCGGCCCTCCTCTTGCTCCTACTGAAGTTCACCTAAATTGATGACCAGCACCAGGAGTGCATTCTTGTACATAACGTGTTAAAACTATCCGCCATTTTTTCGTACTCTGCACTGCCAGAACACCAGAGTCAAAATGCTGCTGTACGCCGCTATTTCGCGCGACGTCAGCAGTCGATAATTTGCTGTTATCCCCTCATAGACGTCAAATCAGATCAGCGCTTGCTGGTCATGAATGGTTCGGTCGGGAAATTAAAGCCAATCGGAGAGAGACGGAGTATAATAATACCAGACAACCATCTCTGGAGAAACAAGAACCTCATGTGCAGGCCCGGTTCCCTTGGAGGCATGTGTGCGGGAGCAGAAAAGAGAGAAAGGAATTCTCCCTTCCCCACCCTCCTTAAAAAGTTTTCCTGCGAACCAACTCTTTTGCCCTGCTCGCGAGAGCTGCGTTTGAACACTATTGTTACCAAGCAAGCCATGTTATCTTAATGTAATAACTTTAGATCATTTAGATCATTTAGATGTTTGCCGTTACTCCAAGATCGCGGGAAAAAAATCGAGCAAGCAAAATAAAAAATATTTGTGGGGGCAGTGTGGATGGCGAATATAACGTCATAACACTTGCACCAGTAAAATATGACACGTCTCACGTTGGCGATATTACAAATAGTAATACTCTTTGTTCACGCTTTACTGTTTTGTAGATAAGGTTCAACTGGGGCGCCAATATCAAAGCGCTTCATATACGAATTAAAATTCATACATATTTCAAAGTTTATTCAAGTACTCTCACCTGAGTCTCATTTGAGTCTTTTTGCCTT